AAAGAACAGTAGTAAAAAGGACAAAAAGTATTAATAATAGTAGTAGTTTTAAAACAGACAAAAGCAAGCAAATTAAAAACCAGAAAAAGGAAAGAGAGCAAAAAAAGAAAAAGAAAAAAAAATTGGGGGAGGGCAGGGCAGGGCACTAGGCTACATCCAAGCACACAGAGTGTGGGCCTAAAAAAAAAAAAAACATTAGCAAAACCCTTGATTTGACCTTTCTTCCTCAGTTCTTAAATTACAGTATATCAGGGTTTGCTGGATAAACTAGATTATATATGCTACGCACACTGCCTCAAAACAATGACTATAATGTAAATAAAGCAAATCTGTCAGAGAATGAAATGAACTATTTAACACTAGAATGTTTTGTTTCTTACTGTAGTTCTCTTATCTAAGTCTTTAAAAGTTGCTTTTTATTAACCTCAACCTCTCTAATTAAAGACAACTGCTGGTACCTTTGTTGGTATTTTCTGATGCAGTCTTCAATAATGTTAGAATATCCAGATTGTCACCAATTCTTGCATAGTAAGAACTATCATGGCCCAGGGCATCCAGCAAGTTCACATCAGCACCATTTTTAATTAAGACTTCAACAGCATCTTTGCAACCATACTCACAACCTAGCATAAGAGCCGTTCTAAAAGGAAAAACAGAAGAATAAAAACCTTGAGAAAGATCCAAAAGAATATTTCGTAAGTGTTCTGCCAGTGGCCCCTTTCTTAAAGATCAGATACCACTTTAAAAAGATATACTTGTTACAGAGAATACATTTTTATCTTACATTTTAATGTCATCACATTTACAAAAGCATTTGCTTTGTGTCTTAATGTGCAGAACTAAAATTTGGTATCACTTTACATACCCTTTATTACGTCTACTGAACTAATCTCATTTATTCCAGTCTTCTAATGCTTTATAAATAATTACCACAAAAATCTTTCACAATTGATAATTTTACCCCACTAGTATTCTGCTCAAAGCTTACAACAATAAACCCAAACTATTTAAGGCCCTTCATGAACTAACTGCATCATACAAATCTCCCCAACAAATCTCTTCTACTCCAAAACAAGAATCAGATTCCTGTTCCTGATTCCCCAGAGTTTTGTTTCCTTAAACTGGAGACGTCAGTATCTTCAGACTTAACTTAAAACTTTCCTCCTCAAATAAATCTTCTTCAATTTACCCAATGCTAACATGGCCTTTTGCTTTATTTTACAGTGATGGTGCAGTGCAGTGAATTACTTAATATGGTCCTTCAAGCCATAGTCTTATGACTTTCACACAATGATTGGGTAGGACTACACAAATGAGGTGCTTGTGGCCCACAAAGGGGACTGGACAGCTTGCTGCTAATGCAAATAAGGTGCATGGAATTCTTGTGGGGGTGGGACTATGTAAATAAGACATATGGAATCCTAATGAAGGGATTGGTCAGTTTTGTCATCCCATTGGGCTTAAAATATGACATACCAGAAGCAGGAAGAGAGGACCTCACTATCATTAAGAAAGAAGAGATGGGAGTATACCCTTTGGACCCAGGGATCCCTGTGCTGAGCACTTCCTAGACTTAGAGAGTTGTAATACCAGAAATAATGCAAGATAGTAAGAAGCAGCAACAGACACATAAAGCAATAGAACCAGGCCAGCCCAACACAGCATGTGGGCTTCCCAGACCAAAGAGCATATAGGGAGGTGCCTTAGGAACTTGATGGAGCTAGGCTTGCCAACCAACACAGCAAGAGAGCTGACTGCTTCGGGGTAGGAGGCTTCCTGTTGGAGTGGGATGCCTCTGGGCACTAATTGGTGGAGCAAAAGAGCTTTGTAACACTTGCAGGAGTGGAAAAGGCCAAAGGAGCCTGCCTGTGGGCATAGTCAAGAAGCTATCTTCACTGAAGAACTGTATCCTGAATCATTCTTGATCCTGAATTGTAAGCTGGTATTTCCCAATAAACCCCATAATCATGACTATTATCTATGAGCTCTGTGTGGCCACTGTTGTTGTTGTTGTTGTTGTTGTTATGTGCCGTCAAGTCAGACCCGACTCATAGCGACCCCTCCTTGGTTTCCGAGGCAGTATCACTACGGATGTAGATTGCCCCATCTTCCTTCCGAGGAGAGGCTGGTTGGTTTGAACCACCAGCCTTCTGGTTAGCAGTCAAGTGCCTTAGGCACTATGCTACCAGAGCTCCCTGTGGCTACTATAATGAATTATTAAACCCACTACAGAAGTAGAGAGTACCATGAGAGGGACAGCTGGTGTCAGAATTAGTAAAAAGGTTGGAGGGTGGAGGTATGTTTGACCTCTGCATTATAGGAATCAGCCTTGGGCTGTTTATCTAGATTCTACCTCCCTCTTGTGAAGTTAGAGGAAGTCAGATAGATACCTCTACCACACCATTTTTACAGTACTTAAACATTTCACTAGTATATCAGCAAATAGTAATGTAACAAAATAGAAATATGTAGCCATGAAAATATAGAAGGATCCTAGAAATTATTTGTCCAATCCCCTTTTATTGCTGGGGAAACCTAATGAAATGAAGTTACTTATCCTATATCTAACTGTCTTCAATTGTGAATATTGGATTTAACAAGGAAACAATCTTGTCTTTACCCTGCCTGTGTATATTTTATTTCTCTTAAATCCCACCTCTATTAGTTACTAGTGTAATATTCTATACACAGCAGGTATCAACTAAGTTTCTGTCATTAGATTTTATAAGTGCCATAGATCAAACAGCAAATGAAACAAATATAGCATATTGAAAACTAAGACAATAATTTATCTTCCAAACCATCTGCTAACTTGTCTATATACCTCACTGATTTTTGTGATGTTCCAATGAAAAAACATAGATAAAAGTATATGAAAAATTCAAGACCTATAAAAACATAAGGCATTATACATGGATCAAGTACATCATCACTCTATGATCCTAGAAGTTGTTTTTAAAATCAGTTTGCTTAGTCAGGCTTGAAACCAGATTATACCATTTGTAAAAAACAAAATAATACAAAAATGCTACTCTTTCAGTAACCGCATTAATGATTTAATGGCTGAAGAATTTCCTCCACTGAGATATCCACACAATAAAAAGAATTAGAGCTATAAAAACTGACATCTAAAGATTATCTTATCGTATTTATTTACTTGCAATAAACTACACACAACAGGATGCATATCTAAAACAGTAAAATTATATCAAAAGAAACCAATTTCTGGAATTGATCTGATAGATTACTACTAAAGAGATTTCTTTAGTAATCTGTAAAATTCTAGAAATTTTAGTTATGTATTTTTATAGTACTTCAATCAATGGAAGGAATATATTTCAGATTCTTCATTCTCAGGAACTTTATAACCACAAATAGCAGAATTATAATATAGCAATCACTAAGACAGATTAGACCTACAGAAGGAGAAAGGGAGAATTTCTGACAAAAATTTATTAGTACATACCAACTAAAACAACATGAGATAGAGAAGCAAGAATAAACTAAGTGAATCTTTAGGTACAGAAATGGACTAAGTCTGGGAGAAGGAGGCTGCACTGTGCCAGACAAAGTTACCTTGAGAAAATCTATACTGAAATACATCAAGCTTCAAGACACCCCTAAGAATTAATTTAGTCTCAAAAGATTCACTCATGGACCAGGATACTATAGATAGAATTTTGTTTGTACCATTCTCCTTTATATCTTATTTGTTCCAATTTCATGGGGAAAAAAAATTTTTAAGTTTAAAATAACTAGGACATAATTCTTCTTTTTTTAATTCATTGACTTGAACATAGACCTTAATCATTGTGTTTCCTCATATTTACCCTGTCATCTTCCACTATTTCCCTCTCTATTCTTCTTCAGTGGACTCTGAAGAAAAGTGACAAGTAGGAGCCAGCACAAGAAAGTGCAAGCCAAGGAAGGGCAAAATCAAGGTAGGTGGAAAGGCCAAATCACAGCAGCAGAGTTTCATAACCACTGCTCATCCAACTGGTCTCTGGGGAGCCATGATAAAAGTGCTACCTGTTTTGCTTGTCTTTGGAATTAATATCTGCTCCTTTATCTATCAGCAGTTGACATATTGTTGGCCGACACATCTGAGTAGCCAGAACGAGTGGTGTCCGCCCATCCTAAGCAACAAGAAAAATAAGACAGCATTAACACAAGTCTCCCAAAATGTGAAAGTCAGATACATGAGGTAAAATAAGAATAAACAAAAAATGACTTACTACATCTTTGGCATTCACAGAGGCCCCATGGTCACAGAGCAGCTGAATGCTAGAAGGACAGTCTGCCATAGCTTTGGAGAACAAAGAAAATGATGAATGGTGAACATCTGTTAATAAGACACATGGTGTTTTGCTCGATCCATATAAGGCATGAGTTCTTGAATTTCTAACTGCCAAACTTCACATTCTTCACTCTTGGTTAAACATTATAAGCAGCAACTTTCTATCTGAAACTGGGTTAGACAAGATCATTTTATAAATTTTTCATAATTTATTAGGACCAAGGAATATTGTCATTCTTGTAGAAGCCAAGAATGTACTACTATCCTAAGGATAAGCATTGATAATAGAAATCAACTTGGATTTTCTATTTACTATGTATTTTTAAGCATGACTATTAACTGACTTGATCCTTGAAGTGCCAGCCAAGTTTTCCTAAAGAATCATATTCACTTTTTTATAGAACAGCCAAGATGAAGTGTGACACAAAATTCGTATCTCTTTTAAAAACAGAGATTACAATGTCTGCCCTTAGTAATGCAAAAAGGATCATTTGCTAAAAAACTATTTCTAAAATCACACTATGGTTCTTCTCTGGCCAATACTAGAGTTCATATTTGTATTAGGAAAATATTATTCTTAAATTCATAAAATAGGATTCTATTTCCTCTATGAGATTTTTTTTAAGCTTTATGAACTGATACAGATTATTAGCACAAAAAGTACTGACCAAGTAGCATTCTTTTTTTTTTAAAAAAAAGAAAGAGTAAGACAGACATACATAAGAAAATCAAATAATTACTTCATTTCTAGGGTTTTTAGTTCTATTTTTTTTTAACACTTATTATAATCCCCACAATGTAACAGCTTACAATGTAACAATCCCCACAATGTAACACTTGCTCCCAGTGGTCACCCTTTCCCTGTGTCCTTTCCATCTATGCTTTCCTGTCTCCCTCACTTTCTCCTGTGTAAATGCTGCCCTTTTGACCTCCCACAGTTGACTGTTCTAAGCAGTACATCTCCCTGTTATAGCTGTTCAGCTCGTAACCCTGTCTATTGTTTGCCTGAAAGCTAGCCACAGAAGTGAGTCCAATTCCAGGCCTGAAGGTGACTCAGGGCCATAGTCTTGGGGGTTTCATCTGTCTCTATCTGACCAGTAAACCTGGTCTTTTTTTAATGTTTTCTTAATTCTGTTCCACATTTTTCTCCCACTTTGTCCAGGATCTCCAATTTTGATCCCTTTCCGAGTGGGATTGGCAGTGGTAGCTGAGCACCATCTAGTTCTTCTAGACTCAGGGTCATGTAGGCCAAGATTCTCATGATCCATTAGTCCTTTGGAATAATTGTTTCCATGTGTTTTTTATTTCTTCACTCTTCTTTGCTCTCAATGAGCAGAGACCAATAGTTACATCTTAGATGGCCGCTTGCAAGCTTTTAAGACCCCTGTCACTACTCGTCAAAGTAGGGTACAAAACAGTATTTTTGCATACTATGTTGTATCAGTTGAGCTTGATGTCCCCCATGAACATGGTCCTGAGACAGCAGGCATTGTGACTCACTCCGTCAAGGTGCTTAACTGGGCTAAGAAGTTATTCTAACTTCGTCCCATTAGCTCTATATTGCATGTGGACATTTTTACAGCACTTACATATACGCATTGCTCTGGTGGCATAGTGCCTAAGGCATCTGACTGCTAACCAGTAGGCTGGCGATTCAAACCCACCAGCCACTCCTCAGAAGGAAGCTTGGGCAATTTACTTCAGTAGTGATACCGCCTCGGAAACCCAAGGAAGGGTCGCTATGAGTCGGATTTGACTTGACGGCAATCAGTTTGGTTTTGGGCTTTGACCTGTGTATTGCTGCTGTTGTTGTTATGTGCTGTCGAGTCGGACCCGACTCATAGTGATCTTGGTTTCCGAGGCAGTATCACTACGGAAGTAGATTGCCCAATCTTCCTTCCGAGGAGTGGCTGGTGGGTTTGAACATGACCTGTATATGGTCATGGGTATACTGCCATTTGCCTACCCATACCTGATCTTCTTGCCTATCTACCTATGTACCCACCAAATAGTGCTTGCTGTTACTGTTAGTGCACTACTGTATATGTAATAGTATTCACCTTTATTGTCTGTGCTTATAATCAAGCAAAAGCCTTTTATATAAAACACATAATTAGTAAAAAGATAAACTGAACCTGAATTCATTAATTTAGGAACTATAAAATTAACAATCATTCAAGTCCAATTATAAAGAGAATGAATGTATGTAAACCATGATAAATTCCAGAGTTATAACATACCGAAGACATAAAGTCAATCCTCAGTGTACTACAGTGGAAGGTGCAGGCTGTTCACCAAGCTCTCATTGCCCTTTCTTCCATGGTAATGAAGTTGTGGCTGGGAACATGCAGCTCACCTAGAAACCACATTTCTCAGTTTCCCTTTTGCAGCTAGGTGTGGTTATTTTGAGTTAGATCTTGCCAATGGAACGACAGCAGTAATATGTCCTCCTCCAGAGTCTACATCTTAAAATGACCAGTCAGTTATGCATTCCTCCATTGCAAGCAGGAATGCAAAAGTGCCAGCTACCAGTTTTAGCTTAAAAGACAAGGACGATGCCATAGGAGATGTTTGAGAAGCAAAATGGAAGAAATCTGTGTTTCTGAAATGACTATATAAAGCAAAGGTACCAGCCAATGTCAACATCAGAACTGTTACATGAAGAAATAAATTCTATGTTCTTTAAGCCAATGTTATTTTAGGGTCTCTTTGTTACAAGAGGGAGCTCTGGTGGCACAGTGCCTAAGGCATTTGACTGTTAACCAGAAGGCTGGCAGTTCAAAACTATCAGCCACTCCTTGGAAGGAAGATAGGGCAATCTACTTCCATAGTGACATTGCCTCAGAAACCCAAGGAGAGGTTGTTATGAGTTGGATCCGACGCAATGGCAGTGACTTTGGTTTGGAGTTTTGTTACAAGAACTTACCCTTAATCCTAATCAATGAAGACAAAAATTGCTATCAGGAGCAGGATGCCACTGTTACAAATACCTAAAATATACACTAGTTCAGTGGTTAAGAAGCTCTGGTGGTGTAGTGGTGAAGGCATTTGGCAGCTAACCAAAAGTTTGGTTTGGAATTCACCAGCGACTCTATAGAAGAAAGTTGAGGCAATATGCTTCCGAAAAGATTTATAGCCTTGGAAACCCAACAGGGATGGGATTACTATGAGTCAGAATTGACTCAATAGCAGTGAGTTTTGTTTTTTTTTCAGTTTAGTGGTTGGGTGGTTGGTGATGAGTAAACAGTTTAGACCAGAAATCTATGATTGTTTTCATGCTGTGGCAAACAATTGGTAAAGCTATCATGTGTGATAATTTGGGTGGTATATCATGTGACTATGGAGCCTTTCTTGAGGCAGCAATAGAACACAGCCAGAACGTCAGTGCATACTGGCAGCTGCTTACTGCTTCTGGCAAGGTATTAAAAAAAGAAATGAACTCAAGCAAGAATCAGCCAGTTTGTGAACAGAGATGAAAGGGAACAGAGAGTGTCTACATACTTGGAGTCTCACAGGTATAGAAAAGCCAACTGTTTCTCTATACCAAACAGCAGGAGATACAACGGTTGCTGCTCACACCTTTCTCACAGACCTCTCAATAAAGAAAAAAAAGAAGTGTGTGTGGGGGGGGTCAAGTCCTGGAGTGAAGATCAGATTGAGAATGTTACATTCCCGTGCAAGACTACTATTTCTAATGGCCAGGGAGTAGCAGGGATTAAAATGAGGTAGAGAATCATGAGTGTAGAAATACAGCAAATCAATAAAGCGGAGTTAAGAACCATACATCCCAAAAAGAACTTGGAAGATGGTTACTGGCACATGGAAGTGGTTGACAACAAATAAACCAAAAACTTAACAAGGCTTTAAGGGAATTATACTGTTAAAAATCCCAAAAGCCAGGTCTACTAACTCATGATTGTTCCAGCTCCTAAGCAGCCTCCTCCAATAACCACTTTATCTATGACCACGTAACATACTAGACAAGTAAGAATCTTCAAGAAGGCAGAGCCAAGGGCTACATAAGATAATGGATAAAAGTTTCTTCCAGAAAGTAAAACCAGGGGGATGTCCAGAAGAGCTAACCAAGAAATTTAGTCTAAGACCTCAGTAAAGAGTTTTGCTCAGCAGGATTTGATAATTACATCACTAAATATTGTGACAAAATGTTTTCTCTTGGAGTTTACAGACTGCTGGACCATGAGAAGTGATATCAGAGCATAAAAGAGAAAAACGCAAACCACCAGAAACCCTAGACTCTGAACGAGATGCAGTAACTATATTAGACTATGGATTCTCTCCTTTGTTGAGGAAATGAAGTATTCTTTGAATGGGAACTAGAACAGCTGGAATATATAGAAAGCCAGAGGTGTGGGCTGTAGCAGAGAAGGAAATTTGTTACAAAAATCTGTTCTCTCCTTCTACAGTGTAGTAGCTGGGACATGGCTAGTCACCTAGAGACCACATTCCTTAGCCTCCCTTGCAGATAAATACAGCCAACTGACTTTGCTCTTCTCAATGGAATGTCAGTAGAAAGGTTATCCACCACCTCTGACTTTTGGCATGTGGTCTTCCATGCTCTCTTTCTCCTTTGTGCAAGCTGGAACATGAATATGACTACAACCTTGCTTCAACAAAGTATCTGACGAAGATACCCAGAGGAAAGTGGAACAAGATGGGAAAAATTCAGTTATAGATGACCATGAGTTACCTGCCAACTTAAAGTACCCATCAATTTCTTTTTATAAGCAACTGACATTGGAGCATTTTTGTTACAGCAACTTAACCTTCATCCTAACTGATACACCTACTGAGCAAATATTAAGATTTCAATTGGCCAAACTATATCAATTTTAAATACAGAGATAATAAAAGTAAAAGTACTTAGTAAGGCTCAAATGATAATATGTGAAAACACTTTTTCTATATTCTATATGAAAAACACCATCCTATACAAAATAATCCCATTCTGGATAAAAACGAAAGGAAGAAAAAATACATTATCTAAGAAATTAAACGATCATAAAATGCAGAAAAGGGCAAAATTGGAAGAAAATTTAGGTAAAAAATTTGAAGTATAATACATTTTTAAAAGAGATCACTTTACTGCAAGAAGTCCAGATGTGAAAGGAGATGGTAGGTTTTTTTGTTTGTTTTTTTCCCCTTTCCTTTGACCTTCTAAGTAAACTGTAGGAATTTTAGACTCAGAAGAGTCAGTCAAGAAGTCAGGCTGTCTTACATTCCAAAAATACTTACATATCTAAATTTTTTCAAAGTATTTTCTTTAAGGCACCTAAAGAATAATGCAGATAAATTTAAACACTCCAGTATGGTCAATAAAATCTGTAGATGTATATTAGCATATATCTTTCAAAAAACAGCACATTATACTAATATAAAACTCAGCACGACACCTCTAAATCAAAACAACATTAACTGAGAAATTCATATATGTCAGGCACTACATGGAATTTAATTATAACCACCTACTGCAGTAGTATTGTACCATTAACTTCATTTTACAGATAAGCAAAATGAGGTTCAGACACATTAACTACGTAAATGTAGTTTCTTAGAAAGAGAAAAATCTTCCTTTCCATTTCTCCCACCAATTCCCAAGCATAACTACACATGCTGGCCTTTCTTGAGTGCAGGATTATGGTCTACTCATCTTTGAACTTTCAATATCTAGCAAACTAACTGTCTTATAAATATTGGATTAAGCTTTTTTGATGCACAGTCTAATACATTTCAAATCTGAGTAAATAAAAATTGCTTAATATTCTTTGTTTCTACATACAAATAAACACATACGTTAAAACTTTGAAATTAAGCTAAATGTCTAGCCATTTCAGCAAATATTTGTTTGCATCTAAGTAAAACATTGGCTTACCTGCATCATGAAGGGCAGTTCTTCCCTGTAGGTCTGTGTGTTCAGTGGGACAATTGTACTATGAAAACACAGAAACTTAGTAATGTAGAAGAGTTTTATTTTAGAATTAATTATCTACACTCAAATGAACAGCTGTTCTTTAATCTTAAAATATTCCATTTATCAAAGAAACAAAAAATTACTAGACAATCCACTAAATATTTTGACATGCAACAAATATAATAGCATTATACTGTAAATTTAACAGTATTTCACCAAACAGGAAACCATATGCTAATTACAATAGCTTGGGGTACAGAAACTATGTTGTGGTTGTTTTGTTTTCAGTAAGACTTCAAACTTGCACTACTAAATCAAAAAACATATGAGTTCTGCTGTGAAACTTCACAGTAAAAATGTTTATGGACGTGCTAAATTCATTTAGCCAACTAGTTCATAGAATTTTGCAGTTGCCTGAATAAATATTTAAGTAATAGTTTTAATATAAGGTAGTTTGTCATCTATGTTCATACAGATTAATGTAAATCTCATGTTCTATACTTTATCTTATATATGAGACAACAGAAAATTCTAGTCTCCAACTAATGTCAACAGGAAGGTCAAGTCTTTGTTATTTATTTTTAATACTCTGAGTTATGCAATTCACTTCCTCCAGAATTTTTGCTCTTTATTGTTCACATTCCTTCATAAATGATAGAAAAAAATATTATGTAAGCTAATGGTCAAAGTTAATGTACAATATTCTTTTATCTCAAATTCCAAAAACACATTAAAAATACATGTATTATTTGTAATTAAAATAATAAAGTCAAAGTATTAACTGCTTTACTACCTGTAGAAGCTTTTGTAGGCACAATGCATGTCCATATTTTGCAGCCAGATGAAGAGCATTTCTCCCTAAAAAAAAAGTAGTAAATAATTTAAAATACATGTGTGAAGTATTGCTTTCCTCATAATGTAAACTTTCTATATCAATGTGCTTCTTTTCTCAAAATTAACAGGAAAAAAAAATTAAGTTAACAGGATACTTATTTGTAAGCATGGTTTCAGTTTCTAAGATGCTTTACCTAGTTAGATTTTTAAGTAAGAGATGATGTACACACCAAAACAATGAAGCCAAGAAGACAAACACACAAATCATAAAGAGTAGCAACTTTATCTTATTACCACTTTATCTCCAGTACACAGATGAGTGCCTGACACAGGGCAGGTAATTAAATATTGACATAGAACAGGGAGAGGGAGGAGGAGTAAAGAAAAGAGAAGATGGGAAGGAAAGAAAAAAGGAGAGTCTGAAAATGGTGAAAGTTAAAAGTTACAATTTAAAGAAAGGGTATTTTCTAACAATTATTCATGCTTCATCTAAAATTCATAGCTCATTAAGAGATCTGTGCCTTTGAAAATCAGATCACCTATTTGAGTATAATATGCATTAAATGAGCAATTTTAAATACAGAAAAAAATACCCACTGCTGTCAAGTTGGACCTGACTCATAGTGACCCCTCCTCAGGTTTCTACAGAAGTAGATTGCCCAACCTTCCTTCAGAGGAGTGGCTAGTGGGTTTGAACCACCAGCCTTCTGGTTAGCAGTCAAATGCCTTAGGTACTATACCACCAGAGCTTTAAATACAGAAGTTACCACATAATCTGAATGGTTAACTCTGAGCACTAGAAAAGATCAACCTGCACAGAACATTTGGGAGCTCTGGCAGCGTAGTGCCTAACACATTTGACTGCTAACCAGAAGGCTGGCAGTTCAAACCCACCAGCCACTCCTTGGAAGGAAGAGTGGGCAACCTACTTCTTCCATAGAGATACTGTCTCAGAAACCAAAGGAGGGGTCGCTATGAGTCGGTATCGACTCGACAGAAGTGAGTTTAGTTTTGGTTTGGCATAGAACGTTCAATTTCCAAATATTATTTCTCCTAATTTTATTTCTTTGGAAACACATCTCTCTTAGATGATGAAGGATCCAAGGGTTTCTAGTCCTTAATGTTCTTCATTTCTCTCTAATTTCATGAACTTCTTGAAACATAATTTGACTTCACAAGTAGATCTTTCTGCTAGAAAAGAAGCAATTTATGTCTTATTCATTATGGACAGATAAATAAGTTGACTTTCAACTCTCACTGAGTCTTATATGAGGTTGGATAAGTGGACAGATCAATTTCCCTGGGCCTAACTAAATGGGTTCTGGAACAAAAAACAAAAAGTCCAGGTTTTTGAACAGGTACATAACATATTCAATGACACCCACACATCCTCTAATTACAAATAAGTCAGATACCATCATTTCAAATTTCAACTTGCAACTGTTCATGAACAAGTTTCACAGAAACATTTCATACTGTAAAAGGTGACTAGAATAACTGGCATTTATATGGGAACTAAGAGTATGAGGTAGGGATGATAGGAGTAGGCACAGTAGTGATTGTCCCTGCTATTCAACGAAATGCACCAGAAACTTGTTCACATCAAAATGTCAGGTCAGGACTAAGGAAATACCAAAGAAGCCACTTGAAATATGTTCTTACTATTTGCCACTGAGTCGGACCCAACTCATAGTGACCCTCCTTGGGTTTCCGAGGCATTATCACTAAGGAAGTAGATTCCCCAACCTTCCTTCCAAGGAGTGGCTGATGGGTTTGAACCACCAGCCTTCTGGTTAGCAGTCAAATGCCTTAGGCACTATGCTACCAGAGCTCGCATTTGAGATATAGCAGCAAGAAATCAAGGAAACGTCAGATCTAAAGCATACCAACATGAATGACACCAAAGGCAACCCTGGTGACAAATACTCCAAAACTGCATCAACTAGAAATATGGTCATTTTAAATAAACTTGTATACTGTTAGCAAATAAAAGAGGTAAGATAAAATAAATAGTTTTTTGATCAAACATCAAATTCTGAATTATAATAGCCATTTATAGCAAATGAGACAAGGTCCTTAACCCTTAAGGAAGGACAATTCTAAAGACACACATAAAAAATACTAAATCAAAATATAACTATATAATGGCAAAAAGAAAAGACAAAAAAAGAGTTAAGCAGGGTATGTTGGGATGCAGTATATTAACTGATACCTGCTGAACTTGGCAAAGTATTTGAGATAAAAGAAGGAGAGCAGAAGTCACTTATTAGCCACTAGGCAAAAATGTCTACAGAAGAAAGATACTCGTTTGAATCTGAATCAGCACACCAAGTAGTATGGCTTTATTTATTTAGCGTGCTGATTCTGCCACAAACATTACCAACAACAGTCACCTAATTCTTCCTTTTGCTTAGAGACCTGTATAACTGATTGACATTTCATGCAAACAGGCATAACTGAACAAGTTTCCTAATAAGGCAAGTCAAGTCTACTTAAGAAACTAAACCATCAAGCATTCCAGGTGCAAGATAAAATATTCCACTATTTCTTTGGCCATCAAAGATGTTTAAATATTTAAAGATCTACCTTGTGATATGCAAAAAATAAACTTATATCGTAGGGCCTTAAGAGCCAGGCATATGTAAAAGACCAGGTAAAAATATACATTTCAGCTCTAAGAATATTTTTTTTATTCTATCAATTTAGCTAACCAGATACAGAATGGATTTCCTTGTGAAACGTAATGGTTAAAAACACAGATTGTACTCCCACTTATTTAATGAAAGACCTTGGGGAAGTTACTTAATGGCTCAGTGCCTCAAAGCTTCATTGGGTTTATGTGAAAATAAAATGAGTTAATATGTGCAAAAAGCTTACAGAGTACTTATACGCATGTTATGTAACTGTCAGCTATTTTCACTATTCCCATTATTGCTGTTGTTGTTATGAGGCAGTTAGTTCCCCATCACAAGAACTGTACAACCAATGACTTCATGACACTGAGGATTCATATACTAAGCAGTAGGTAAATTTAAACAAAATGGTTGCTAGTATTTCTTCCAAATCTCTGATTTTAGGATTCTGTAACATTACCAAGACCAGCAGCACTAAACTTCAAGTCTCCACCTGCTAGTTGGTCCAGTAACCCTCTCTCCTAAATTCCCTACTTGACCTCTCTTTTCTCAACAATTTAAAAATCGAAAACTAAAAATATCTCTTTTTAAATCAAATTTAGGTCTGACCAAGGACACTGGAACTGGACAAAATTTGTATCTCTCTTTGTTGACCCTAGAGGAAAATATACCTGCAGTGTCACTGGTTGTAATATCAATTCCATGCAGAAGGATGGCGTTCAAACATTCAAGATTCCCCTTTGAGGCCACAACATGGAAGCTAAACAAAAAGAAAATTAGTGTTATATCATGGCAACTATCAAAGGTCAACTTCAATGCTACGTTTACATTACCCTTTAACTAGCACACACACACACACATACACACGTTTTAAAGGCTACATTAGAACATCTGTATCTTCAATACCAGCAAAAATAAACCTATTCCAGTTATTTAAAATTTATTTGAATCTAAATATATAAGGGGCCAATACTCTCTAAAAACATCTTCTTGGAATGAAGGAAATATTCTAATGTTCAATAGCTTCAATAATAATAGAAAATTTATACAATAATATTGTTAAAAAAATAACAAAAACACTAGTGTTTGGGGCTTAAAAAATGCTCTGAAGAATATCGTATTATTTTGATTAGTTTCAAATATACTCAAACTGCCAAAACAAATGAAGTTATAGCAGAATGCTAAAACCAAAGAAAACGCAAAACACTTTTCCTTTTTCTTTAGAATTATCAAGCTAAAATTGCCTTCAAAACATGGAAGCTAGGCTACACTGGAAAGCCATAGAAGAATTAGCACCTTGTTCGCAAACAGTAACAATGGTCACCTAATGCTTCCTTTTGCTTATTAACCTGTGTAACTGATGGAAGTTTCATGCAAACAGGCATAATTAAACAAACTTCCTAATAAGGCAAGTCAAGTCTACTTAAGAAACTACTTTTAAATCATCAAACATTTGAGATACAAGATAAAATATGTCATTATTTCTTTGATCATCCAACATTTTACTCATCAACAAACATTCACAGAAGTACACTGTGTACAGTAAGAACTGACAATGGCTAGTACTCCACCAAACCCAAGCTGGTAAATTCAGTAGGATTTGATGGCAAAGGATGTTGAACTGGGGTTCAAATAGAATAGAACCAAGGTCCTAAAAAAGTACTCTAATTACTCTGAAAATGCCAAGAGATAAAAGATGTGAAAGCATTCAGCAAGGTACCTGGGCACTCAATATCTTACTCCCAGTGGTGGCAGGGAATCTTTACTAGCCTCACTATTTAAAAATTAAGCATCATCCCCACTCTCTGAAATTTTACTACTCCCAGCTTCCCGTCCCTACTTTTATTATTCTATCTGAAACTTAACACTTCAAATATAATAGTTTTACTATTTATTTTCTTTATAGCCTAGCAAACTCCTACTATTCTGCAAACTCAAAAAAAGCAGGAAATTTTTGTCTGTTTTATTTCTTATTCAATTCTCAGTATCAGATAGATGATTGTTGTTGTTGTTAGGTGTTGTTGAGTCGTCTCCGACTCATAGCGACCCTATGTACAGCAGAACAAAACACTACCCAGTACTGTGCCAGCCAGACAGATGATGGGGCCTGTGGTGGTTACATTTATGTGTCAACTTACCAGGGCCTGGTTGAGTGGCTGGGCAGCTGGTGGTAGTTATTCCCCATGATGAGACTGGCAATCAACTCTATGGTGGGATCTACCACAAGCAGCTGAGTAGCTGTCTTTGGGATGTGATCTGCTTCCTGTACATAAGGAGAAACCTTGGGGATAGTCTCGAGCTTATGGCACACTTGGACCCTGCATGTAGTCGTGTCATTGTTCAGCAGCCTGCCATGCTTTGCCAACCTTGGGACTTACAATGGACTTAAATTAACAGCCTTCCATGTGGTTTGGTAACATCGAGACCGTGCCCTTTTACTTGTCAACCTGGGGTTTGCCAGCCTCAGCAGCCAGCAGCTATCTGAGTGAAGAAACACTAGCTAGCTAGCTAGCTCCAGTGGACTGGAAGCAGGAGGTAGAGATGGACCCCAAGGTTCAGGAGCTTTCACCCAGCCCCTAGAGCCTGGTACTTGGACTTAAAGCCTCCAAACTGTAAGAGAATAAACTCCTGTTTGTTAAGGCCATCCCATTTGTAATATATTCCTGTCAGAGCAGCACTCAGTAACCAGAATAAGGCCCCAAATATTTGAACGAAAGAATACATGGGAAACAAAATTTGAAGACAGCTTGCAAATTCATTTCCAGGTATCACAGCTCTCAACTACTCAACTCTATTAGTATTATGACAGACATAAATGCAAACTAGAGAGACTAAACACTAACCAGGTAATGGAGGTGTGTGTTCAATTTGATTTGAAGAAAAAGAAATGTTTCTGGTAAAAGGAGCAGTGTCTTAAGAGTCAGGTAAGTACTCACTACAGTGGAATAATTAAAATATTATATGACTGGGGGTATCACTTTAATCTCTGCAACACTGAATATGGAAGTACATAGTGCAAAGCCCCACTGGAACCTTTTGAGGAATGTTAATTTCCTTCAGGCAAAGATGCTTAATCTCTCAATCTGGGAGGTACCATTTTTGTTTCTTTGTTTTTATTTCTTAGCTCACAAAATTTGGACTATCTCTTTCCTTATAATAAATCCATGTTATACTGATGATGTACTAAGGGCAGAAATAAGACAAATCTACAATGCATTATTAATACTGGTGTGCTATAAACAGTACATATGCTTTAGAAAGAAGATATATCAGTTATTAAATATAAGAGAAGAGTGCTAAAGGAAACTTGATAATTGCTTTTATAGAAAACTCTTCTGCAATTAAAAAAGAAAAAAACTTAACATCACTGTTTATAAGAGTTCAGATGTACTGTGCTTTTTTTATTTTCTTTTAAAGCAAGACATGGACTTCTGAATCCACAGTGGGAAATCCAGGTAATTTGGACAAACCTTCCTCTGAGGACAAATAGCAAAAGTTGCACAAAATATAAACATCTACTTGAAGGCATGAGTGAGCTAAAAGGATAGTAAAAAATTACTAGGTCAACATGCAGTGAAGAACAGAGGCCCAGAGAGGGGAACCAGGGATTTCTGGTCACTTCGCTCTAAGAACATTTACTGATTGGCCGTAAGAACAGCACTTCTGACAGCACTGGGGGGTGAAAGGCAGGAAATGGAGACCAGGGCTCTCCGTGCAGCAGTGGGGAACCTTAGTTAACTTGCCCCATCAGTGATTGGGACTCTAAAAGGACTCTAAAAGGACCCTTGAAAAGAGATGAGCAGAAAGAAAACAGGCTTTTGCAGTAATACAACTAGGCTTCAAATATTTCAATTCTTGAAATTACACTGAGTTCAAGAAGCACAAGTTATTTCTGTCTTAAATTTCAAAATTAACCCCCTCCCCCTTCTTCATCTATGTAGGAGATCCTGGATAGAGAAAGAAAACAATGTGGAACAAAACTCAAAATCGTTTGGGGAAAAAAAAAAAGGTGGAGGGGGCGGGGGGACGACCAGGTTTCCTGGACTGATAGAGCCTGGTAGAACCACTGACACTATGGCCCTTAGCTGCCCTTCAAGTCTGGAATTGAACCCACCCCTGTGGTTTCCAGTCAAACAAAAGACATGCATGTGAGTAGAACATGTACCTGAGGTAGATACACTCCTTGGAGAGAACAATCATGGGAGAAAGAAGGGCTGTTTATGCACAGGCAGACAGCTCAGGGGGCAGGAGTGCATGGAGGGATGGACACAGGGAAGAGGTAACTATAGGGAGGAAGTGGGAGGGGAGCTGTTGCATTGTGGTAAATTGTAGTCGATGTCATGAGACAAAGTATGTGAACTGCTGTAGAGAAAGGGAATTTGCTCTGTAAACTATCACCTGAATCACAATTTAAAAAAAAAAAAAATAACCCCCCTTCCAATAAAATTCTAAATAAACATGCTTTTTGAATTACATACAATATGTTGTTGTTGTTGTTGTCGTTATGTGCCGTCAAGTCAGACCTGACTCATAGCGACCCCTCCTTGGGTTTCCGAGACAGTATCACTACGGAAGTAGATTGCCCCACCTTCCTTCCGAGGAGTGGCTGGTGGGTTTGACCTGCAGGCCTTCTGGTTAGCAGTCAAGTGCCTTAGGCACTACGCTACCAGAGCTCCTATACATACAATATAGAAAACATATTTGTAAGATGCCTTTAATTAACTAAATTAAAATAATATTTTAACTAAGGAAGATAGTGTATGGGGGTGGGAGTTAAAAAATAAATAAAACTAGCAGAAGAATTTGCATGAAAAAAAAAAACAAAAAAGGAGACATATGGGGCTGCGGTCTGGCAGCAATCCTGACGGCACAGACAGCTTGGATATTGCTGAGTGGTGGTAAGACCTAAGAATTAACCTAAAAATCAGCCCTACTAGCCAGGGACTGCATGAAGGACTGCTCTGGTGGCTGGTGAATAAAGGGGAAGCAGAGGAGAGGAAGGTGGGCTGAGCTGTGGATTTTTACTTGTCTGGAGGGCATAACCATTTTGAATGTTTACAAGCGGTTTGACCATTTTGGATATTTAAAGCAAGAGCATTCTCCCAGATTCCAGGGACTTAAGAACAGCCTCCACTTACTGGGAACCACAAGGATACTCCAGAGGCGGACGACTAGAAAGGTGAGACATTCTCCTTGTTACTCATATACCCTACACCCTCTTGGTGAATGGATGTGTGGCCATCCCTCACTCCCATCCACCTCCTGGGCCAGACGGAGCCTAGGTGCCCTGTCCACCCAGCCCCGATTATGGGTTTTTTTTTTTTTTTTTTTCTGTTTTTTAGTTTTGTCTGTTTTAAAACTATTATTATTGTTATTACTTTTATCCTTTGTGTTATTATTCTTTATTCTTTCCCTCTTAGGTTCTACTTTTCAATGTCTTTTCTTTTTCTTGTTCCTGGTTGCAATATTCTTTTTCTTTCTCATGGATACCCCTGTTCCTTGTTTTTCTTTTCGCAGTTTTCCCATTTTTTTCTTCATTATTCTCCTTCTCTACCTTTTTTCTCTTACTGCCCTCTTCCCAGATACTGTGTTGTTTCTTCTTTTATTTTCCCTATTTTTCTTCTTTGGGTTACTGCTCCTGTGTGATTACACAGTGTTTTGTCCATTTCCTTTTACTTTTTTGATGGTTATTCAATTGTTATTTTTGTCTAACTGAGTAAAAAACAGCAACAGTCCCCATAAGACACAACTACACCCACA